GGGCCTGGTTTCAGCAGCTGGGACACTGGTCACACTGCAGCCTGGGCCCCCTGTATGTCCATGTCTCTGAGGGCAGAGTACTGAGCACAGTGTGGGCAGCACCCACCCAGTGCTCTGCACTATTGCTGCCTCCAGTGGGTGAAGACATGGAAATGGGGCAGTCAGGTTACCTTCTTTTAGCAACTGCTTAGAAAAGAAAACAGATACAATTAATGATCATGCATGCAAGTCTGCCACACATTTTGAGTTGTTATGAAATATATATATATATTAAATATTTTTATTGATTTCAGAGAGGAAGGGAAAGGGAGAACTAGAAAGAAAATTCAATGATGAGAGAGAATCATTGATCAGCTGCCTCTTGCACACCCCCTACTGGGGAACAAGCCAGCAATCAGGCATATTCTCTGACCAGGGATCAAGCCACGACCTCCTGATTCATAGGTCGACGTTCAACCATTGAGCCATGCCACCCGGGCATGTTATAAAATATATTAAAGCAAGTTGACAACAAACGTATTTCAGAGTTTATTAGAATAGCTGAATAATACAAAGTGCAAAAGATGACAAACCTGCCAATTGAGGCTGACCTAAGTTGCAGCTCAGTTTCTCAGAAGTTCTGAGGATCAGTGCCCCGTTCAAGCGTGCCCTCCCCCCAACCTGCGAAGCACCCATGCCTGGGATGAAAATAAACCCCACATTGAAAGCCCATGATCCCAGAATCAGTGGAACACAGTTTAAATACAAGTATTTAAAACTACTTACATTCTCATTTAGCATTCATGAAGTGACTAGACATTTATAATCACACCTACCACAGCAGAACAAGACCTGGCATACTCTCTAGTTTAAGCTTAAGCCAAATATGCAAAAGGAATTTCAGCCCAGGGGAGCAGAGGACAAAATCTGTTGGGGGGGAGGGGAGGAAACTCTTGCCACTTTGCAGGTAAAAGGAACTATTTGAGAAAGAAATTCTAGAGTTGCTTCTTAAAATAAATGGGCATTAACTCCAAGAATAGACCAAAATACAGGTTTTTTTTTTTAAAGCACATCAGTTAATATTAGTTCCCAAAATCGGGATGTGGGGAATTTTGATTATTTGTCTTTTGGGTTTTTTGTTGTTGTTCACTCCACGAACCACACAGATTTAAGCAGTGGGTTTTGCAGCTAGACAGAAGCAGATGTCCTTGGGGCTCCTATCTCAGATTCCCACACTGGACCTATTGTTGAAGGTGATGGAAATATGTAGAGCCATTTGCAGCTGCTAGAAAGCATTGCTTTCCTGTTTTCCTGTTCTAGACAATGGTGAAGTCCAGGAGAAAAATAACACAAAAGACTTTCCTATATTTGCCTTTAAAAAAAACTGCCTTATTTTGAAGTTAGTACTTTTTTTTTTTTTTTTTTTTTTTTTTTTTTGTAAAATCTCATCTCTTTCCTTTTGGTTTTCACATATTTAGGGGGGAAAAAGTTGGTGTTAAAGTAACCAATGCTGAAACGCACATTCTTCAAAGATTTTTCGTGAAGAGGCCAGGTGCCATCGCAGCAGGCTATCACAGGTGCTCATGATTAGAACATAAATGAGAACAACAACGTGCACATGTGCATTTAAGAGAAAATAGATTCACTCCCTTCTCAGGCCTGCCTTCATGATGTACATGAGCATGCATTCCGTGCTTAACTTTTGATTCTGCTTGTTTGCCTGATCATGGGAAGATGGGAGGAGGAGCCTTTGTCAAGGTTGCTAGGCTACCACTGAATAACAGTAGAGGGCTAGATATGGCCTTGCAGAGCCTAATAGGAACCACACCCCAGAGTCCTCCTGCCCTCAACTCAGAAACCGCTTAATCCACCCACTGGGAAAACGCCATGTGGATGTGTATCACCACAGTGTCACCATTCTGTCAAGCTGCCCTCCACGGCTGCATGTGCCTTGGGGCCGCACTGCTGAGCAGTGGTGGGTCCTGCCCACCAAGCCCACCACTCCCCAGGCAATGTTGGCCAGCTGCCCCCCCTCGGTTTCCTCCCCGCCTCAGATCCCCCAAAGGAAATGTCCTCTTGCATCCGACTTTGCAAATAGCAAAGAAGAAGAAGGAGCGATGTCCCTAAAAGTAAGAAACGGGCCTAGTGAGCTGCATAATTAAAGGTGTCCTGTCCCTTTTCAATTATCTGCCTTGGAAGGTGAGAGAAAGGTAAGAGGAAATAAGTTTGTCCCAGATACAGGTTTTCCAAGAGTTTCCTAAAATGATTGAACGATGGGAAATACTATTTGGACAAAAGTCCCCATTGCCTTGGAGCCTGTTGCTAAGAAGACCTTTCTCCCTCTCCCCATTGTCTCACTTGTCCTGCTGCTCAGCGGGTTACAAACAGCAGCACCTGGTCCGGACTGGTGTGCACATGTCAGGGCCACCTCTCCCCCTGCTCAGCCCCATCCAACTTCTCTGGTTGTGTCACGGCCGAGCTACCTGGGGCCCCTGTGAATAAATGGGCAGTCCACCAACGGCCACACAGCCCACAAAGGCTGTGTATTCACTGCCGTGGCCCGGAGCTCTGCAATGCAAGGATTCAATTGCTCAGGCAGAATGATAGCAGTGTTAAAGGGGAGAATAAAGCATCTGTCTGAGGCCAGTAGCTTCATCCGTTTCTCTGCCTGAGGTCATGCAGGTCAAGATTCTTGGCTGCTGGTAGGTAGTGGTGTGAGAGCAAGAGACCTGGTACTAGCATTTGGGGGGTCAACTCAGCAGATTCTGAGAAACTGTTAGTTATCAGCCTTTTTAGCCCCTTTGGGGCCCTAGAAGAACCAGACACTGAAATGAGAGTGCGTGTTAATACCCTCAGCCAGCTCAAGGCCTCCAGGATCACAGAGGACTTGGATAAAGCCCAAAGTAAGATCGTCTCCTTCATCTCAAATAAAAAGAAAAACTGTAAAAACCCAGGGGGAAGCTATTGAATTTGCATTTATTTCATGTCAGTGCAGATACTGGTCAGCAATAGCGTTTAAGTCACCAGTTGGTTCCTATACCAGAGACCACCAGGGTCCAGTAGTGAGGGCACAGCTTTGGTCTCCTAGCTCCGTGGTCGGCAAACTGTGCCCTGCGAGCCACATGCGGCTCTTTGGCCCCTTGAGTGTGGCTCTTCCACAAAATACCACGGCCTGGGCAAGTCCATTTTGAAGAAGTGGCTTTCGAAAAAGTTTAAGTTTAAAAAATTTGGCTCTCAAAAGAAATTTCAATCGCTGTATTGTTGATATTAGGCTCTGCTGACTAATGAGTTTGCTGACCACCGCCCTAGAGTGTCAGACACCACTTATTCCAAGTGGAAGCTGACTAAAAAGCAGAACTTACAAACACCTGCTAGACTCCATGGAGCCTTCCTGTTTCCTTTGACACCCCCTGCAGTTTCCCATGGTCTTTTAAAAAAAATAGTAAACTGTAGCACCTACATTTCAAATTTGGAAAACAAAAAAAAGCAAACTGGACTCTGAGAGCCCGGGTGTTAACCGCTGGTACAGTTGCATTTTTAAGGCAAAACCAGAAACAATGGGATGGCCTCCTCCTGGGAGGCAGAGTTCGGAATCTCTGGAAGGAAGCCCATTCCCTCTGGACATCAGGTGGCGGCAGCAGACAGCCTTGACCTCTCACAGCCTTGACCTCCCAGGGGCTTTCTGGCTGCACAGGCAGAACCTCACAGTACTGACCGCATCATAAGGGGAATTCTTGGCGAGTGAGCCCTTAAACTTGAGGATATAAATTAACGCTTTGAGCAGTTTTTATAGTTGCAAAAGATTTTAGTAATTCTTTTTCTTCCCTCCCCCAGACCCCCTCTTTAAGAAAAAGAGAAAAAGGGGATACAAGTTCCTGAAGCAGCATGGGGACTGTCATGGTGCGTGACTGGCCCCGGCCCTTCTGTGTGCCACAGCTACACATCAGGATCAAGTTGTCAGGACTGTGAACAAAGCTAATGTCGACTGTGAACTAGGCTAAAAGGCTTTATGATGCCAGTGAGCCATCTCCCTCATGCGTCCTTTAGAAACAATCAGAGCAAAAGACTCTCCAGGGTGCCCTTGATCTACAGTCAAAGCACCGAAATCCAGAGCTGCCTGAGGTGAAGGCAGGGACGCAGGGTGGGGCGGGGCGGGGCGTCTTGGGAATGTGCAGGCTTAGAGACAGGTTACCCTTGGCGTCTTCCTTATGAGTGTTCAACCCATCTACAGTCACATCAGAACATTTAGATGAAATTAGATTCAAGTGTTTGTGGAACAAACCCTGGCCTCCCTCTTCCGCACTTCTGATTATTTTCAAAACCATATTAACTAACTGGTTTCATACAACTTTCTTCACATTTTTTCAAGTTTCACTAGCAAATAAAGCCAAGGCTCTCAGAAACTTAAGAACGAGACGTGTGATTTCTAAACTCCCTACCTCCTTGCTAACTAAGTGGAGGATTTCTACAACATCAAGATCGGCAGGACTTGTGATGGAAAAATGCTTGAACGGAAATGCAAAGACATGTTTCCAGTCCTAAATATGCCCGTTCCTTTTGACAAGTAATAATAATAATAATAAAACTCCTTACATAATTATACAATAATTTACTTAGTCTCCATTATACTAATTAGCATGATCAGACCCCTTGTCTCCTTCAATGACTCCAGTGAGCAGAGAAGCCGTTCAAAGGGAGCCCATTAGCACCTGACATAATCCAGAACCAGTGTAGAAAAAGGAAATCAATCATATTCGAATTTGAAAAGGGAGACTGGGTGACCATTGGTAATATTCATAAAATCCCCCGCCATGACACCACATCCCATGGCTTCCACTCCGGGAATATCACACGCATTTAGGATACAGCCTACCCGTCCAAAGTGGCCAGGCTTTTAAGGAGAAAGTTGACAATTGTTTGCTAGGATTCCAGTCCAGTCTTTCAGAAGGATGTGGGTCCCTCCATCTGAGCTCGGAGGATGGTGGCAGCTGACTGGCAGTGTCTCTGGGGGCCCCGCACCTTCAGCAGTCTGTCCCAGGGGTTGGACTATGGGAAACAGAAGGTGACAGCATTGGAAGCTGGTGGGCCCTCTACCTGTTTCTGGGGTTGTTGCCCACCCCCCTCCCTGTGTCTGCCCCCTCCTTCTCCCCTGGGGAACCTCAGCCCTCTTTACCTGTACTGGTTCTCCATGGCCCTGCTCTCAGCTCTCTCCGGAACCCAGGAGTAGCTGTCTGCCGCGCTCTGAGGCTTCTTCTCCTTCTCCTCCCTCTTGGCTCTCCTCTTGCGGTAGACCAGCAGCCCCAGGGCCAGAGCCAGCAGGAGTAAGATGGCCGCCACAGTGCCGAGGATATAGAACAAAAGCAGCTTTTGCCAGTCGGGGCCGTCATTCCTTGGTTGGGCAATGAGATCTCCATCGGTGGACTCCTCGTGACCAGTGGTGGCCGTGGGGTGATGGCTGCTGTGCTCCATCCAGATTCCTGGGGACCCGCTGGTGGTCAGAGACTGGGGTGATGTAGGGGCGATAGAGGCATTGGATTCAAGGATGGGTCTCCACCTGGTGGGTGTCACCTTGGAAGTGCCCTCAGGGCCCCCAATGGGACTTGAGGTTGTGGTGGAAGGCATGAGGCTCCCCTCTCTGTCTCCTGTGTTCTGCCCCTGGGAGGTCTCGGCAGATGGTTCCAAGGACGTGGGGCCTGGGATACAGGAGACCCCATCGGGGGCCAGCTCGCTGCCTGGCAAGCAGGTGCAGTGGAAGGATCCTTCCGTGTTGAGGCAGTAGCCTTCACAGAGACCGCCCTCGGGGCTCGTACACTCATCCACATCCCGACAGGCCTTCTCTCTGGGGCCGCCGGGCTCGTAGCCCACCCAGCACTGGCAATGGAAGCTCCCCGGGGTGTTGACACACTCCTGCTCACAGGGGGATGCCTGGCACTCGTCCACGTCTACACAGTCCCTCTGAGTCACGTTCAGCTGGTAGCCTTCGGGGCACTGGCACGTGTAGTTTTTCCAGAGGGAGTCGGGGACGCATGTGGCCACTCCTCTGCACGGGCTGGAGCTACAAGGGTCCCGGGAGACACAGGTCACCAGGTCATCCAGCAGCCTGAACCCCGGGCGGCAGCCGCAGCGGAAGGAGCCATCCTCCCCGTCGAAGCATTCCTGCTGGCAGCCCCCATTATTGAAGCTGCACTTGTACTCAGCGCTGGCACAGAGGGGTCCCGAGATGCCCCAGTCGAACACATCGGTGGCCTTCTCCTTGCACAGGAAGAAATGCTGCCTACCTTCACCCCCGGCCCCACAGGCCACGTTGGCTACCGAGGCGAAGGGCACGGCCTCCAAGGAGGAGCTGGTGGCCTTGAAAGGGGTCGAGTAGTTCACCTGGCCTGGGCCACCCAGGGCCAGGGGCCGGCACATGCCTTTGAAGCTGAACTTGCACACGAAGCCCTCGATGTTGCTTACAGGGGAGCCTGGGTTCCCACAGGGGCCCTCAGACCACTTGGGGAGGTGGCCTGAGAGGGAAGAGAGGGACGGGTCCAGCATCAGGGACGCACAGCGGTTGGAGATGCAAGTGGTCCTGGGCTCCTTGTACCAGTTGGAATAAAGTGAGTCCTCCCCACCGCCCACCCAGCTGAAGCCCCTCAGAGGCAGATTGGGGTTCAAGCACCTGCCCTTTTCTCGCTGGAGTCCTATCCAGAACTTGCCTGTCCAGGGCGCCCCGGGCTGTAGGAGCTGGGCCAGTGCTCTCTGGATGTGCCGGGCCTCCTCCTCAGTCCTCACGGTGGCCAGGTTGCCCCCATCCTTGTTGCAGAGAAGCTGGGCCTCGGCGGCAGTCAGCTTGCCCCAGTGGGCTGAGTAGCAGGCAGTGCCCGCGCACACCACGGCCTGGGTGTCAGCGCCAGCCTCCAGCCAGGGCTGGCTTAGCAGCAGCGGCAGCAGCAGCAGCAGGCTGGCAGAGGTGGCCATCGCGGTCTCCGTGTCGCCCTCGGCAGCAGGGGCTGGAAGCCTGACAGTGACCGCGCCCGCCCCAGCCAAGCTCAGAGGGGAGCCAAGGGCTCAGACACTGACACTCCGGCACAGAGAAGGACACAAAGGCTGCGGGCTTTGCACGTCCCCCTGACCCAAGGCGCATCCTGTGCTGTTGTATTTCTTATTTCTCACCGGATACTGGGACTTCCTGCAGTGAATAGTTCTCTGACTCCTGTTGCCTTCATCATGGTTTTGTTGTTCATAAAAGGAGCCAGGCGGCTTTGCTGGGTCCCTGGCTGAGCTCTGGGAAAATGTGGCCACGTCGGGGGAAGGCAGCTCGGGACACTGGCTGCTTTATTTTGGATCCATTCTCTCCCATCCCTATGAGGAGCTTAAATGGCATGCTATAGAGCGAGGAGGGAATTTCGGGGGGCAGGAACTTGAACATATCACTGAGAAACTGATAATAAAATTCCACTCTGGTTTGCAAACAACCAGAAAGAAGAAAGAATCCTCAGACTTGACACACGAGACCACGGATGGTTATCTTTTCAGCCTTTTTAAGAAAGCAAAGTGGATTTTTCTTTTCCTATCTCACGTTCCCTTCAGGGTTGGGAGCCTTGTCTCTTTTATTCCCCCCATCGTGAACTTTAAATAGAGAGGCAGTTTTTAAATAGGAACTGGGCCGTGGGAATGTCTGAGTGTCTCATAGAGCGCCAAGCGCCTCGAGAACATCAAACCAAATTGGGCGAAATTTCGCAGTTTTCAGGGTGTCACAGTGCAAAAACACTGCGTAGGGAGGAGGCAGTGCACCAAAAGCATCAGAAAGAAAAAGTGGAAATGTTTCTGGCCTCCTGGCCCTGGGCTAGACCCTGGCTCCCCCGCTCAGGGTTCCCGGGAAGGGTCGGACATGTGGGCCCAGAAGGAGGGTCCAGGCCTGACCCTCGCTGCCTTCATCGCGGTTCTGTCGTTCCTGACAAGAGCCGGGCATCTTGGCTGACCACCTCCCACACAGCAACTCACCAAAGGCCCTAGACTATCAGGGTCTTTTTGGGGGAGGGTTGCCTGTGTCACAGGCCTGTTGTGCTTATTAGGGCTGTCTTTGATTGGGATCCCCCAGAAGCAGACCCTGAGATAAGGTTTCAGGGCAATTCATTTATTTGGGAGGAACAGTGAGAAAAAAAGAAAGAAAGTAGGAGCCAACACAGAGTGGCTGAAAGGGCCCCTAGACCTCAGTTCCCTGGGACATTCTGAAAGACGATATGGGTCACATGGCAGCATCTCCCAGCTGAGGGGCGGGCTTGGCACAGGTCTCCTTCAGCCCCCTCCTCACTAGAGGCAGCAGCCCTTTCGTGCTCCGGGCTGACTGTGAGGATCCAGTATACCAGAGGGACACGCAGGTGGAGAATCACAGGTGAGTGGAGTACCAGCGTCTACCATAACAGCCCTCTACAGAGATTTGAGTTCATTTAGGGTTAATGGGCTTTAGGAACTCACTGGCTTTCAGCTTCCCCAAAACATAAATAAGATGCCCATCTCAGATTTCAGCTGGTTATCTTTCAGAGGTGTTCCTTATGTCCTACTTACTTTAATAAAGCATTGGAGATCATCCAGGGACCCTCTCTCAGAGCTTTCCGGTGCTCCTTGTTGCTTATGGAGATCCATCCATCATCTATCCATCTACCTATCCATCCATCTATCCATGCACCCAAAGTTAATTAAGCCCTACTATGTGCTGAGCTCAGCACTGAGAATCTGGGATGGAAATCTTGCCTTTGTGACCCTTTAAGTCTGCGTGGACAGATATGAACACGTTGAACAGCTATAACTGTGACAGGTACCACTGGGAGAAGTTGAGGGTGTCAGAGATGTCCTGACTTGGTGAGTGGTGAGCCAGGCTCCTCTGGGGAAGAATGGCAACGAAGCCAGAGTCCAAGGGAGGAATATCTAACAGGGAGAATGATGCCCCACAGAGGGGGACAGCATATACCAAGCCCCTGTAGTGGGAAGGCTGTGACCTTCACAGGGTGTAAAGGAAGGGCAGTGAGATTATATCCTGAAGACTAAAAACGAAGGATGGGGAAGGTGGAGCCCTGGGAGCCCAAACAGTGAAGATGTAGGCTACTTCCATCCATGGGAAACACTGAGGGACTGGCATGCTGAGATGTGAGGAGAAAGTGTCCCTCCTGCTGTGGCGAGGGGCAAGGGCTGAGGGACCCTAAGCAGCCAGCTATCCTGGCAGAGGGAGGGTGACTGGGACTGAGTTAGGCCCCTGGAGGAAGGATAGCAGATTCAGGAGATGATCAGGCCATTCTTGGTGCTGAATAAATAGAGTGGGGTAGGAGGGTTTGGGGGGCACGCAGGAGGGCTTCCTGGTTTCCTGCTTGTACCACCATGCCCCAGGGTTCTTAAAGGCTGTACCCATTGGAGATGAGGAAACCAGGCTGGGCTGGAGCTCAGTCAGAGGGGCTGGTTGTGTGGTCTGAGTCTCCCACACCCCCTCTCATCATGACTTGCCACCTCAGGATTCTAAATTTGCTCCCAAACTTGGGGGAAGTAGCCAGGTTCAAGGGGACCTGGGAAGGCTGGTGTCCTGAGTTTCGGGTCAGTGTTTGCTGTGCACACATTGAGGCTTAGTGAATGTCAGTGCTGATCTCTGCCTGGAAGAAGCTGCATTTTTCTAAAGGCTTGTTTATGGGCAGGTGATTCCTTCACATTCTCTAAAAGCAACCTGATGATGTTGGATGTTTGCCTTGAGGCACAATGCAGCTGGCATAGACTCACAGCAGGGGACCTCTTCTGCTTTGGACTCCTATCTGCAGCCCAGCTGGCTCCTCTGTTAAGTGTCGAGATCCTGCAGGATTCACCAGCGGGCTGCTTCGTTGGTGCTTAAGGACACGGGTTGACTCGCTTGTAAGTCATCCTGCCGCCCCGATCTTTTTCAGGATTTCGTCTTTTGCTGGCAATTCTTCATCTGCCACACGAGAATTTGAAAATCGACTGCTCTTCACTTAGCCGAGTGTTGACGTCTTAAAGAAGAAAGCGAACTAGCAAAGCCATGTGTGCAGGTCATTCATCCGTTGAGCCAGGAAGTACCGTGAAGCACTTACTGTGAGAAAGGCCACGTAAATGGCCAGAGCTGCTCTGCCCTGGGAGTTGGAGGTTCCACTTCATCATTTCCAGTAAACCCATTAACTCAGCCTCGGCCCTAGTTCCCTGATCTGTAAACACGGAGATGGGAACAGGACCCTGATGCCTTTCTTACTCCTGTTTCTTTCATCCTCTGGATTTGGGGAGGAAGCAAACTGGGGAGATAGCGGGAATGGAGTCCACTGTCAAGCCGTCACCAGATGGCATAACGCAGTGAACCACCTATCTGTTCAGCATGGGTGCCATGTTCCTCTTGCTGACCCACTGAGCTTCAAGATATGGTGCAGTTGCTTTACTGGCTCTCCCCTCCCTCCTTGGCTCCCTCTGACTTTCTCTCTGTCCCTTGAAGAGAGACCATGACGTCCACAAGGTCAGCTGACAATATACACAATAATTAAAAGTTGGTCTTTTAAATTATCTGTTTATTTTCACCAAGCCCCACTAACAAGGTTAATGATAAAACTCTCCTCCCCCAAAAAACAAACAAACAAACAAACAAACAAAAAACACTTGTTTGTTGTTGGTCTAAATTCTAAACAATTGTGGTGGCCTTGGTTATTTTAATAATATATATGCAGACTTCAGATTAGCACCTTTGAATTGCGCATGCTTTAAGAAGCATTGTATTCCACATGGAAGTTTGGGGAATTCCCACTTACAATGCAGGTCCCCAGCCCTCATGCCTTCCCACCCACGTGCCTTCCGGAGCAAGTTCCTGGTGGGTGGGAGTTGCTCAGCAGGACGGGCCACACATCTCCCTGCATAGACACAGTGGATTTGCCAGGAACAATGATGGCAGAGACTGTGAAGAGAAAGAAATAAAACCATACTCACTTCAATTTCATCATCCTCTGTGATTACTTGGAGTCTCTGGGTTGAAAGTTTAAAACAAGGGAAAAGAGTGGGAATAGTGAGGCATGAAATCTTTAGTAAGTGAAAATATTAGTTGGCCTGTACCTGAATAACATTTTTACGAACTGAAGTGCCATCCTTATTAATAGTTTATGTCAAAATTGATGAACAAGCCTGTCCAGCATGGCTCAGTGGTTGAGCATTGACCTATGAACCAGGAGGTTTTGGCTTGATTCCCATATGCCTGGGGTGTGGGCTCAATCCCCAGTGTGAGGCATGCAGGAGGCAGCCAATCAATAATTCTCTCACATCGTTGATGTTTCCTTCTCTCTCTCCTTCTTCCTTCCTCTCTGAATCAATAAAAAAATAAATAAATAAAAATAAAACAAACAAAAAACAACTAAAGAAAAAATTAAAAATTATTAATGCTGATTATGACATAATTATTTCTGAAAGTAATTATACCGAGATCTGAGCTACTGCACCAACCCACCTGGTGTACAAGTATGCCAGGAGTGCAAAACCACACTAACACTCATTTCTCCCAGTGTGGCAGCTTGTCAATTTTCCAACTGTTCTTCGTTGAAGGGATAGAACACATCTACCCTGGGTTCAAACCCCACTCTGACACTCACTAGCTGTGTGACCTTAGACAAGGTACCGAACCACTCTGTTCATGTTGTGTAGCACAACCATCTGTGACTGGTTCTCCACCTGGAACAAGGGGGACAGTGCAACTTCACATCTCATGAGGCTTGTGGGGATTGCATAAATCAGTACCTGGAGCACTCTCAGAAGAGTGCCTGATAGGAGGTGTGAGCAGCCATCACACCAGGAGGCCCAGGAGCTGATAACTCCCAACTGATAACTCCAGTGACTGAAACTGAAGGCTCACCTTGACCACTTGGTGGCTTTGGGATTAGACCCCACCTCCTCACCTCCAGAGGTCTTGTCTTCCTCATTTGCCAAATGGGAATCATGAGGGTCATAGAGCC